ATTAGGAACACAAGAAATAATCTCTAAAAATATAAGCTTTAATGAAAGTCTACTGTATGACCTAATATTATTATAGGAATCCAAACTGTTATTCCCCTGAAATTCTCCAAATGGACCTTAACGTATCTAAACTTTGTGCTTTTTCTACCTTCCACCTAGCCTACTTATTCCTCAAGAGTTAGTTCAGGTCCTATCCTCCAGTAAGCACTGCCAGTCTGAGTCTTAACTCATCTGAGTGTGTCAGTGTACACTCCTGTTAAAGCACTTGTGACATCGTTTAACAATGGACTATTGAATTGTCCAGTTCATGTAACAAACTCTAAACTTACTGAAAGTAGGAAACATAGCATATTTATCACTGTATCCTCAGAGCTTGGAACACATACACCATTCAGTAGAAGTTTTCTGATATTAGTTAATATGAAACTGTAGTTAGTTAAGAAATATTTATAGAACAAAACTGAAAAGTTAAAAGACTTCTTGCAAGACTGAGAAAGTCTTGAAAGCAGGAAAAAGTATTATACAACACTAAACTGGAAACTGAGAAAAACCAAAGTTAACTAATAAAATTAAGTCCAACTACTAGAAATTGTGTGTCACAACAGGGCATTTCCACTTTACCTCCAAGACATTAGAAAAACTAAAAGAAAAAAAGATTTATCTTTGGCAGCCATGAAATTACTTAATGAAAATTGTATAATTTTTAAATAGTAACTGAAGGCAAAGTATTTCAACACTGGAAGTCTTCACAGTGCTATAAACAGAAGATAGACATGCCAAAATAATTTATAAACATATTTCAGGTTTATTTCACATAGCGACCAATATTATACCCCCTTCTAAGGTCTCCTGCAATAGTTTAGCTACAAGCAATATGTTCATTCTTTCCCATAAAAGAATCCTTACCTTTTACAGCATGTACTACTTTTTGCAATCAGTTCTGATCTTTAGAGAAGTAGGAATGAGATACATAGTGTGAAATCTAATTAGTTTTCTTTTAAATGTTGATAATGAGAACTGTATACTTTCTCAAGAAGCACATATGTTACCAACATCTCAAAAGCTTAAGGGTCCTTGGTAATCTGAGTATGCTTTTATGTGTTTGAACTTTGCTTTGCTGAATTAAAGATGCTGTATTAAAAAGTTAGGAACCGGGGGTAAACGCCAAACAAAATCATAATGAACATTAGTTTATCTTAAAATAATACAACTACATATTTTGGAATGTAAAACCGTTTCTCAGACTTATGCATGTTGCTTTCAACCTGTACTGCTTAACAAGCACTTTTCAGAACACTCTATATCAAGTTCAAGCATATCACAGGTCATTTGCAATTTAGAAATTTTTCAGAATTTAAAAGTCAGTTTGGGCTGGAAGGTAGAAAAATAAAAATTTAACTACTATATCAACAGAGAAAATATTTCAAAAAAGATCTACAGGGCACAACTTTGATGCAGTATAACAAGTAAATGAAACAATTCAGAAGACAGACTAAGTAGTTAAAACAGGGAATACAAGGATAGCAGATGCTGTGTGTCCATAATTTAGTCTAGGAAAGATTTAGCCTTAAATTATGTCTAATGCATAATATATAATGCATGAAATATAAGTCTACCAATAAGCAAAAATATAACCAACTTAATATTTGCAGTACTCATTTCTCAAGGATCACATAAGAGTATTTAAAATGTATCACTCTACTGTTAAATTATAGACAATTTCTATCTAATTCACCTATTAAGAAAATTTACCAATTCTCTACTACTCTTATTAGGAAATGTCATTTTCTATCTAAATTCCCTTAATTTGTATTCTTTTTTTTTTTTTTTTTTTTGGAGACAGAGTCTTGCTCTGTTGCCCGGGCTAGAGTGCCATGGCACTAGCCTAGCTCACAGCAACCTCAAACTCCTGGGCTCAAGCGATTCTACCGCCTCAGCCTCTCAAGTAGCTGGGACTTACAGGCATGCACCACCACCATGCCCGGCTAATTTTTTCTATATATTTTTAGTTGTCCAGATAATTTCTATTTTTTTTTTAGTAGAGATGGGGGTCTCGCTCTTGCCCAGGCTGGTCTCGAACTCCTGAGCTCAAACAATCCTCCCAACTCAGACTCCGAGAGTGCTAGGATTACAGGCGTGAGCCACCGCGCCCGGCCCTTTAATTTGTATTTAATAAACAAATTCAAGAATTCTTCCAAGTCCAAGCTATAAACCTCAGAACTCAATGAAGGATATGACAGTTAACTTTTTTTTTATTGTTTTGGGTTTTGTCTTGTTTTAAGCATAAATTTTATGCTTTTTCATACATGAAGGATACATGAATGACATAGTAAACTGAATTTGAAAAATATTCTTTCATTTAATCTTCAGCCTTCAAAAATATACATCCTTATATCTACACATAGTTTGGAGTATATTTTTAGTCAAAAACAGATTATTTTCATATTTAAATATCTTCTTACTAAGAAATTTAAAATTTACTTAAATTGTTTAAAGAATACAAGTCTTCTAGAAATATTATACAATATTGATAATCTAGCATATTTTCAAAGCAAATATGATTGTAACTTAACTACCTGTATAATAAAGAATTCTAATTCTATTCACCCTTCTCCCACAATCCACATGGGTAAGCCAAGGTAAAAATACACCAGTGGCTATCCAGAAGCCATCTTTGGGAGTATTACATATAAAATTCCAGTTTACGTCTCTCTGATGTGGGGGAAAAAAGTCATTCTGCCCTGTCCCAAGTGACAAAAGAAACAGTCATATTTTAAAAGCATAATTCCAGCAAGTTTAACAAAGGAATTTATAATTTTTGTGTTCCTATTTAAACATGAAATGTTTCAAATTTCTGACTGGCTTGTAGTTCACAAGTTCATGTATGATACTTGCAACAATACCAAAAAAAAAACCCAGCTCCGATCAACTTTCTGAATATGGCAGTATTCAGTAGTTAAAAACCTAAAAAATAATCCAGCTGCAAGCTATTAATGTGTAACTTAACATTACTCTTTAATCCATAACAATTTATAACAAGAGAAAAATTTTAAAACTTGAAAATTACATTAACAATGAGAGATCAGAAAACAAATGCCAACTTGAAATAAACGTAGCTGTTTCCTCAAAAACTGAACAAGCACCTTGGGAAAATGTAGTAACTTAGAGACAGGCCATATAAATAACTTGAAACCAAGATTTCAAGAGTACAGTTTTTTATATGTTAGATTTATATGACATTTAAGCCATCTGAAAGTTACAAACCTTAGACAAAGCCTTTGTTTTTGTCTGTAATCTATTTTTCAAATACATATTCATGATTATATAAAATTCTACAGTGTTTTTTACGTCCAAATAAGGATAAAAGGTTTATCAAATTCCATCTTAAGTTCCATATGTGGAGAATGGTCATTTACATACTTTATTTCTAAAAATTCTTGTCACTGTCACATAGAAAAACATCAGCATTTGATAAATTCAAACTATAAATATAAGCTTACTGAATGTTACAAATTGTATACAATAGCTAAGTCTCTTCAAATACATAGTAACAAACAGTTACAAGGGCAAGGGCACTGCAGGGAGGGGTGAGGGTAGAAATTAGTACACTAATAAACTGAGGTCTTTAAAACTACTTTCAATATTTATGCTACAATATAGATACAAAAACACTTGGTTACACAAGCCTAAGGTAGGATTCTGAAAAACCTAACAAAAAATAAGTTTTTGATACAGTAATCTCTGAGTAGATGCTAGATGCTTCTGACATCTATGAAGAGTATACAAAAATTACACAGGTGTAAACCTAGAGACTGTTTAGTTATCCGCTGGAAGCAAATACTATACAGTCCACAGCTGCAAACTAATTTTGCTTCAGCATCCCCAGAGACTTCGAAAATGTTTCTTTGAGTAGGTTGCAAAACAGTGCTTCCTCTTTTATTCTCATCACCCCCATTATGATACAAAGCAACAGATAGACAAGAAAATCAAATCGCCAACTGTAAGGGCTGAAAGCTTAAACACACACACACACACAAAGCATCTTCTTTGCAACTCCCCAAAACGGTATTCTTTCCACCTGTTTGTAAATCCATAGTTCCACAATAACTCAAACCCTCCGCTGATGAAAGGAAAGGAAAGAAAGGAGAGAAAGAAAGGCAAATTAATGCTTTGAAGTCATTATTCTTCTACCTAGGCATGGGGGGGAGGGGGATGGCAGAAAACAATGGATGCTGAGGGGCTGGGGGAAAAAATCGTTTTGCCCCGAAGCCTCTGGCGTTTTGAGCCTGGCGGGGGAGCCGGGGAGAGTTAGAATACTTTCCCTCTAGCCCTCGAAGGTATGCTATCACGGAGAGAGGTTGCCATTAGGCATGTTCAACAAGGCGGTCTTGAATGGCTACAACTCGCTTTACCAAGCAACACACCCAAAGCCGATTCACCACTCCTCACCGAAGGTCTTTAGGGAGAGGAGTACGGGAGAGCGCGGTGGGCTCTGGGGCGGGGGCGAGGAGAGACCCCACCCTGTATCACCACCTCTGCACCTGGGCCCTCGCCAACCATTTACTCGACCCCGGGCGCCCGCCGCCTGGGCCCGCCGCCCCCGGCAGCCGAGCGAGGCAGGACGGTCCGCCGGGCGCCCCCAGCCCGCGCCCTCGCGCCGGCTCGCCCTCGCCCAAGCGCTGTCCCGGCCGCCCGCCGCCGCCGCCGCAGGCCCACCCGGCCGCTGTCAGAGCCGGCCGACCGTCTCCCGGCGCCCGGCGGCGGGCTCCCACGCGAGCCGGCTCCGAGGGCCCGGCACTCCCGCGACAGCACCCAGGAAAGCGGCGGCCGCGGCGCCTCCCAGGGCCCCGGCCCCTCGGGCCTCGCCCCGGCCCCGCCGACTCGCGCCTGTCAGGGCGCGCGGGGCCTCCCCCTACCGACAGCCAGCTCGCTGCCCGACGGACAGGAAAGCAGGAAGCACCGACCAACAGACACCCTCCGCCTCATCGGCCCCTGGTTACCGTCAGGAGCCCCGACTCCGCCATCCTCCTCGCTCGCCCTCCTTCCTCCTCCTCCTCCTCCTAAGAAGCGACGCTGCCCAACCGCCGCCCCCCGCCCAC